TAAATAAGGTATTTGAACCAAATAATATACAACTCAAATATCTCTTAACAAGATGAACTAAAACTTTAGATTTGAGAGGAAAACCAAAACTTACAATGAGAAGAAAACACTAAAATATGAGGTGAGTAAAATTATGTAAAAATCTAAAAAAATCAAATTTGAAACTCTTCTTTCACCCCTTTTTTTTATAGTGAATTTTGGATGCTAAAGTATTTAAAAATTAATTCTCACCATTATTAACCTTTGATTAACCACCATAAATCAATAATTAAATTTAAGAAAACCAAGGGTTCTTTTAGGGGAAAAAACCAAGGTTTTCACGAGTTTAATGTCTCATTTACCTATAATTTGTTTAATTAAAAACATTTCCAACAATCCCTCATATGAATGAAAATGATCTCACCAGTTTGAAAACAACTTGAAGATTTATTAAGAGGTACTAATTTAGTAGATTACTACATCAGGATATGTAGCTTTTGACTTTGAATCTTTCTTAGTGAAATACTATCAGATTTACTCAACTAATTAATGAATATGATGTCTTGAACTATTTTTTTATTTTATGGAAACCAAAATAATAATACTCACATAATTCTTTACCTAGAAATCTACTTTGGTTTTCATTATTATGTTCATTTGGCCTTAAATAACTCTTGGATTCATCAGTGCTTTAAAGAATTCAACCTTTATTGAAATTCTCAAAGAAAATATCATATTTCTCATTTATATAGGTGATCTTTTATTAAGAATATTATGTTGTACTCTACTTGGTATACCAAGATGTGAAAATCATTAAGAGCTTAACTCACATTTTATCACGCTACAACTAATATTTATTTCATTATAGGAATAAATAGAAAAAATTAATTTTCTAGTCCTACAGAGAATATTATATTACTTAATTTTTCATTTGAACGTAGATTTTGAGATCTCTAACTAACTAGTTATGGTTACCATCATTACACTCCACATTTTAAAGGCTTTAAATTCATTCTTCTTGATGAATTATACGTAAGTTCTTCTTACAAACCTTTGGTTAGTAGATCCATGACACAACTAAAAAATTAATGTTTGCTTGATTAGTACTTAAAAGTGTATTTTTATTAAGGTTTTATATTATCATTTTGCACTTGAAGTATCAATAACTCTTTAATTAAAGCATGTTTTATAATAACATGTCTAATAATATAAGATACCTTTAATTTGTAGTAAATATTCATTTTAAATGTAAGCCTATCACATAAATGAAAGGATTGATTGATGAGTTTAAGAACTAAAATTGAAAGGACAAAGAGATGATCAAACTTAGAAAAGAGATGCTGGTGTAGTCCAAACCAGAACACTGTTCACTAATTGGATCATAT